CTAAATTGAAACTTCAATTTTGTTGTTCATTTGCATTCACCCTGACGATCACAAAGATTTGATGACATTTCAAAGACATCGCGTATAGGATAGATGAATTGCGACGGGTCCTAGGACGAGTGGGCATCGGTCAAGTTGCCATTTTTGCTATTATTTTTTGTTTCTATTAGATTTTTACGAACATAAAATAAAGAAGTAGTTAATGCATTAACATTTTTATGTAATTGTTTAAAGAAATGATAATAACCAAAATATATCTTGAATTAGTTTGAATTGAATATATAATCATTTCAACATCAAGAACATTCAAAAATCACAAAAATAGTATCTTGAATTAATTTATTTTGAATATATAATTATTTCAACATCAATAACATTCAATAATTGATTAACAAATACAAAAAAGCAAAAAAAATCTCAGGGCTTCGGATTCATTTACCCGAACCCCTTCAACAGTTTCGGGCAAATGAACCCGAAACATGCCGTGTAACCCGTCCGATTCAATTATCTGAAGCCACTGAAGGGGTTTCGGGTAAATGAACGTGAAATGTCTTACAAAAGACGATATAATTTGCAGTTTGACGTCAAATTAAAGTCTAAATATAAACCCCCGTCTCTATTAGAAACATCGAAAACAAGTACACAAGTCATAAGTTTCAAGTTGTAGTAGTGGTGGTCGGCCATGGTGTGAACGTACGTAAGTTGTAAGCAACTAAGGAATATTTGCAACTTGATAAAGTGGTTAAAAAGTTTAGCTTCAATTTCCAGAACCAGAACCAGAATCAAACAAACAACATGGAATAAGAAACTAAATTAAATAACCGAAAAAGGGACCTTTATTCCCAATTCGGATAAGAGAAGAAACTCTATTCTCAAAAAGAATTAGTTAGAATATTAATCTCACCATCAAAGTAATTAATAATTAGGGTAAATTGCAGTCACCTCTAAAATAAGGTGAAATTACAAAAAACTCCCTCTTGTTTGGGTAATTACTATCATCCTTTCAACTATGAATCTTCTTACACGTCCACCCTTATGGTGTCAAATTCTACATAATTTTTAAAATTATGTGGCATGTTTTTTAATTTGTACTCGTTTTATCCAAAAATGTAGTTTCTAATGCAGAACAATTTGATATTTATAAGGTAAGAGACACATCTTATATTATTTCAAAATGTGGAGTTCGAATTGGGTAAAACGGGTACAAACTGGAGTATATTCCACATAATCTAGAAAATTCTACTAAATTTGACATCACAAAGATGGACGTGTAAGTAGATTCATAGTTGAGGGAATGATTATAATTACCTGAACAAGATGAATTTTTTTTTTAAATTTAACTTTATCTCGGAAGGTGACCGTAATTTACCATCACAATTATCACGCAAATAGATATGGAATAATATATTTCAAAGAAAAAAACTAACTAGCGTAAGAATTAAGGGACTTTGGTTATGCTAATTCTTTAATGACAAAAATTGACCCCACAAAGATTCTGTAGCAAGTAGTAGTATAAAATAACATCATCCCTTCCCTTGCATTTCTCACTTACATTAAATTTCTCTCTCTCTCTCTCTCTCTCTCTCTCTCTCTCTTTCTCTCAGCTTGAAAAACTCTGTCAAAATCTCTCTGATAAGATCAAATGAGTTGGTTGAAATTGAAGAAATTGCTGCCCACAAAAAAGTTTTGGAGAGCATTTACAAACAAAGTAGTGCCTCTCAAGCTACAAAAACTCAACAAATCATTACCATCATCATCAAAACCAAACAAGAAACTTAAAAACCAATCCTACAAAAAAACTTCCGGCAAACTTAGCTGGCCGAGATCTCTTTCCGTGCAGCCCAAGAAATTCAAGAAGAAGCCCAAAAACAAGAACACCTTCATTAGCCACCAGAAAAGACCGCCTCCAGTGTTCGTCGATCAGCTCTTCGTGGGGCCCGCTTCCGGTGTGTCGGAAACTGGAAGCACAAGCAAGGAGAAATCGACTAGTTCGAAGACAAGCGAGGTTCCCGATCAGAAAAGTGGGCCCGAGGTATCTAATAAAGAAAACACAAGTGTATCCGATAATGATATGAATATGATCGACAGTAGTGCTGATGATATGTGGGATTCAATGGTGTTGGCTTCGCCACAGATGCAAGGAATTGATGAAAGGGCTGAGGAGTTCATAGCTCAGTTCCGAGCTCAGATGCACCGTCAGGAAATGCTAGCTCGCCGTACGTAGCTTTTATTAACATCCTAGATATACAGATAATAATACTACTCTTACGGTGTATAGAAATTCTTTGCAAGTTTATATATGACGATGTAATCTTTCGCTCATCGTAAAATCTGCTGAAAATATAAATTCCTCTCAACACTGACAACTCAAAATCAATATAATCTTCACATAAACAAGTGAAAAATGCGACACATAAATTGATTTAATTTATGACGAAACTTGCTAATCGAACAAACAAACAATCTAACGGTGAACCGATACTAGACGAGACGATCATTAAAATGCATGTTATTTAAATATCAAACATCAACATGTTAAATTTTGACAAAGACCACGCAGAGTAACAAGACAAGTGTGTCCATTGTCAACGTTTCAATACACATACACCACGACAAGAGTAACAAGACATGCAAAGCTTTGTTCAAGCTTTCCAGACGAGAACACAAAGATTACGAAACATCACCCTAATATTATAAACCAATTAAAAGACTACTAAACATCCCGAGAAATATTATTAGTTATATCTTCAAAGACCACAACAGAAATTTTCTTGCCATAGAGCCCGAAAAATCTAAGCGCAAACTTCAATTGAGGAAGTCCTTCATTGGGTCGTCGTGATGGACCCTCTTCATCCTGTAAGCTTCCATGTCTTCCGGTGTAACCTACAAGTCAAAAAATTATTAGAATCACCGATAAACTAAAACCGTAATTAATATAAGACCACAAAAAACATTTCATATAACCTATATTAAAATCATTGTACCCCATCGTTCCACTTGACATTATATTTGCGTTTTCTTTCGTCCCTCTCTTCTTTTTTCCTTTCATCCTCCTGCGAGAAAAACCAATGTTAAGATGCCGTTTTAAATCGTATCCAAAATTTGCATTACCATAAGATACAGATAACATTTTACCTAAATCAAACACGTGAGATTGAAAAAAAAGTTTACGGGCAAGACCCAGACCACCTCTAAGAAACCACTTACGAAAGAGAAGGGGGCCGCACAATATAAATAAGATTTGAAATTTACCTTATGAAGTGCTTCAGCCAGTTTTTTCTGGTCTATAACTAGATCATCAGGTACTTCGGTTCCCCAAGTTGCAAGCCTTATTTCCTCAGCTGGTGCAGGTGCTTCTGATTGCAAAAAATAAACTTTCAGATACCATGCCATTATTTATCTTCTAATACTAAAACATAAACGAAGCAGTAGCTATGCATATATACCGCAGCAAACAACTGACCTAGATAAAGATGTGCATCATAATACTGAGATAGTACTAAAATATAAATGAAGCACTAGCTACGCATGTATACTCAAGCAATAAGGGTTAAAAACAAACAAACATGGGCTTCTTCCGTTTTTAACACATTTACAGTAGAGAAAAAGTGATTTTAAAGAACAAAAATAATCATTTTATGAATCTCTAATCTATTTGTAAATGATTTTATCTAAAATGAGCTTAGTTCTAACTTTGGAAGCCATAAAGTACTGTACTACTGTGTTTAAGATTGTTGTAGTAAGTGGCCTATTTGAACTTCTAAATAGATTGTCCGAAACTAAGTTACAATGGTTAGATTATTCCATATCTATGGAAAATAGAAATATTGATTGGAAATATTTGTTCTATCAACATAAAATACTGGTTATTCATTATAAAAGTAATTAAACTCAAAGACCATTTAAAAGACTCAAAATTAAATAGTACAAAGGAATCTATCTAACAAAATCAAATTACTTTTTAGGAGTGCTGTTCTCATACTGCAAAATATTAAAAGTTCTTGAGAATACTTAGTCTGGATAATATATTAGATCATATTAACTGGTTGCTCAATGCATTGTCAAAATTCTATATCACCTATATCGATAGGCAGTCTAACCACTTCTAATTAGAACATACATGCTATATCACAGAAAAGTTATAACTTTTGACCTTAACAGTTTATGGTAGTCATTCTTCATGTAAGTTAAAGGAAAGCCATTATTACCTTCAGCAGCCTCTTTACGAGCGATATTAGCTTTCATAAGATCCGATGCAGCTTCAGCAGCCTCAATACCAGCAGCGCCAGTACAGTAGCTATTTCTAACTGTCTGCTGACAACATTTATAGCCCCACTGATGGTCCTTCCACCATGAACCCCAAACGCTTGTATGGTTGTTGATGTACACATCCTCTTCATACTTGCTCTTTGGAAGAGAAGTCTCCTGCAAAGATCACGAAGTCAACAGGTTAATTCCACTCATAAAGGGTCTATCGAAAAAGAATAATAAAAATGGAAACAATATCTCCTATAGACAACGCATGGTTCGTATAGAAAAATTTCTTTTCCACCTAATTACTTTCTCAATGTGTACCCTTTTAACTTCTCATCCTGTTCTTAGTGACATGTGAGGTGGTGAGATGGGTTGCCATATTATCTAAACATTGTCCCCATAATTTTGAAACTCTTCATAATACCAAATGATAAAGTAAAACTTGGTCATGATTACGATTGTTAGACAGCATACTAGCAATCAAATATCACAGCAAATAGAGTCAGACAGCTAAAACAAATATTATGCAACCCAACCCCATAATACAAAACATGTAAATAATCCCAAGACGATATGTCGTGATGGTTTGAAGAAGTACATTAATGTCCGACAGACATTTCACCATCCTAGTACATAATAAGGGAATATAAACAGACTGGTCTGCAGTAAAGCAACATAAAAGCGAAGAGATTCCAACTGCTTTGGTATGTGGAGTATTAACAGAAATAATACGGTCAGACATCCCATCAAAGAAGAAAGAAGAAGAATGTTGGTCCGTACCTGGCCTTTAATGATCCTCCCAGCCCGATCATATTCGACCTCTCTCTCACTTTGTCCCAGCAATAGTTCTCGTGGAAGTACTTCATCTGTAGCAGCATTGCCATACTTCTCCATGATTGTATCTTTAGTGTGCGTCTTAAGCTTCTCCTTATTGACCCTGAAGTTCTTATAAAGCAGTTCAGCTTGTGAGGGAGCAGCTTGCATATGAACATCATGACCCTTGTCGAATGCTTCCCAAGCGTGAATATTGAGCTGCTTGAATTCCAAAGCCTGACCACTCACTCTGTTCTGGTTATCTCCCTATAATTTTGACAAATAGATATCAGCACGCTGTTGCAAATGCAGAATATTAGCAAAACAGTAGCACAATCTCACTTTTCGAACGGAAAATAAACTTACAGCATAGAACTTCTCATTTGGATCCATGTCTGGGAGAGGATCCTCACGCATAGAACGTGTTTTTGGGTCATAGTGGGCGGAGTTTACATCGAGATTAAGAAGATATTTCGCCGTGTCCTCCCGAATACGTAAATTTCTGGTAGAGAAAAAGGAGAAAAAGGTCAATTTTTAATCTCTTCAAAGCACATGGCAAACACATTATTCAACAGAAATCCAAACATCACTCTCGCCAAGAAGATCAAGGGAGGAAATATGTACTCAGTATAGCCCCAGTTCTAGAATATAATAACCATATTCTAATATGTTCTCAAATATTTTAACTGTGGCAAGCACAAATGTGTAAAAGAGAGAGCAAATGAAAAAGAATATGTCAACATACCTAACCGTTCCAGTGCTACCACCACCGGTAGTACGGACACGTTTTTCGACCTTTGCGAAGTCCATTTGCTTACTCTCATCAACTTTGGCCTCATCAACTTTGAGAGAGTCCTCGTTATCTTCATCATCACTAACCCCATCTTCGTTATTTTGATTACTATTTTTTTCCTCCAACTTTTTAAGTTGTTGCTCCTTCAAGAACTTGCTTCTTGCTTCATCCCGAGCTTCATACCTTTGAATAACGTATTTATAAGATGCAGCATCATA